TTCAGTCAATACTTAAATGCTTACTCTAAATACAGTTTTGCATACTTTATATAAAGGTGTGGCAATGGACATTATTTATTGCACTTTGAGTGACTCATCAGTGCCAGTTTTAGCATATTAAATTTTCTTTTAATTTGGTATTCAGCCAAATGGTTTGCAAGGCATTTCTGCTCCCATTAAGTTTAATGGAAAAACTCCCCTTGACTACTGTATCACTAGGCTTGGGTCCAGAACCTTAGAGGAACCTGTGCCCCACACAGTATCTCTTGTCAGCAAAAGACTTTAGAGAAAAAGTTTGGCCCCCTGGAAAAAGGTTAGTAAACCCTGGAATTTTGGAACCCATTTTGGTTACACAGCATTTCACATACTTTTCTATGTATAAAAATTCAACAATTTTACTTTGAAATTCAAAAAAGGTCCAAATCCTTGTATCTAGGCCTTGAACTTTATAGGGACTGGTACAAAAAGGTCCCCTGGGGATCTGCCTCTCTGAGTTCCTGAGTTCTAACAGGAAGTATGCACACTACTGTATTGCTTTGAGTGCATCATAATCCTTTGGATATCCAACCAGTCAGCCAACTCTACTAACTAGGAAGGTGGTTGGTAGCAACATGACTTTGCCTAATTTCTGCCTCTTTTTTGGCACTAGGCACTCCCAATGTACTCTTAGGCTAGGGACAGACATTCAAAAAGCCTGAGCCTGAATTGATTCAATCTTTCCAGATTATAGTTTCATAGTTTCATAGTTGGTAGGGTCGGAAGGGACCTGAGCAGATCATCAAGTCCATTAGTCTAACCTGCCTAGGCTGAATCAGTATGTAACCACACAGACATCCCCTCTGGACTGAAAAAAATGCAGGCACAGGCTAGAAGCCAGGGGCTGCTACAGCAACCTTCCCTTCCACAATGCTGAGCTGAGAGGGGTGTGGCCAGGCCCCATCCAGACACTCTGATTAGGGAGGGGTTCTGCCCTCCCCACTGATAATAGATCATTTATCAGCTCTGTTAACAGCATTTAGCACCCCATCTGAAAACAAAGCCTCACTCATTATTTCAAGCTTTTCTTAAACACCTTTTTCCAAAGGAAGGATGCAGGGGCATTACCAGCTAACCTGTTGATTAGCTCCAAAAAGCCCTAAAAAAGCCCACTGTCCTGTCTGTCTTACACAGACAACTCTTAGCATTAGCTAGCATACTACATGCTGGCTACAGTCTGTGCTGTGGGAGAGAGGAGGATCCCTGCTTAAGCAGTGACTGGAGGGCCGGGGGGGTGGGGTGGGAATGGGGCACAGCGAAGCCAGACAGACCCAGCTGTGCCTGCAAGTCTCTGCTGGAGCTGCAGCCAGGGAGTAGAGTGGAGGGGTCTGCTTAGCCCAGAGAGCATGCCAGGATGCTGGGGGAATCTGATTAACTTAAACCAGGAAGGGGTCTGGAACAGACAGTGCATAAACTGGTTTGACCCAAATCAGTTAAGTCTGATACTACATTCAACCAGGTTTATCTCAAACCAGTTTCAGCCATTTTCAAACTGGTTTATGTGCCCTGAATATCTGTTCTGTTATAGGTTTAAACCGGTTTCTGATCACGTAAACCAGTTTATGTGTAATGTCTGTCCCTAGCCGTATAGGAGAGAGAGAGACTACAAGTCTTCCCAGTCATTACATCTTGAAGTTGTGGGAAGCCTCCTTACTGATTCCTCTTTCCTGTCCCTCTTCCCCCTGCCCAACCTGCTGCTCTGCTTTCTGCTCCATGCCCCTGTGCTTCCTACTTGAAATGCTGCTTTGCTTTCTGTTTCTTGCCCTGTGCTTCTTGCCCATTCTGCTGCTTTGCTTTCAGATCCCTGCCTTGCCTGAACCCTCCATGATCTGCAATATGCCACAAGCAGAGGCACATGTGCTGCAGGTTGGCCATCCCTGGTATCATTGTTGTCAACAGTCCCGCATAGCTGAGGATAGTCACTCCAAGTGGTTAAGTAAAGGGTTGTAAATGAAAACGAGTCTGTTGATGGCTAAGAAGGCTGATCCTAGAGCTGCAGATTCTTTGGCAAATGCTGCAGATGGTGCTTAAAGGGAGGGTCAGACCACGGATTTAAGGTTATGGGTATTGGTGATTGGTTATTGTGCTAGATGCTGGAACCAGTGGTAGAAGACTGTGTGACTTGTTTTATGTATGAGGCTGCTGCACATCAGCAACCATACAGATCTTAGTGGAAGAGAAACCTGTTCCCAGTGGCAAGGAGATCCAAGATGACTGGGGTTACTCTTCCACTGCAGAGGATGAGGAGCCTCTTCTGCTATAGACCATGTCTGTTTCCTACATGTCTGTGCAGTGCTTGTCCACACTGTACAATGCTAAGATAAAATACTTGAGAAACAGGGGAAATTAATGCCCAGGCAGAGCTCCATGCAAATAAGACTACACTGTTTTTAGTACCTGAGGTAGGTCAGGTATTTCTGAATTGTAAGCTAAAATACAACAGGTAGATGAGAAAAGAGTTGTCATGCATTAAGGAGAAAACTTAACTCACTACCTGTCACATTGTTAGCTTTTCCTCCTTGGTCCACAGTGTTTTGAGTTTGTTGAACTTCAAGGCATGATGCAAGGTCCTTCAATTCTGGAGATGTGTGTTGGATAAGGCTGAGTAATGTTGCTGTGCCTAGGTACTAGTATTAGGGTTGGGGTTTTTTTCCAGTGCTTTACACTGTAAGAAAATGCAGTGTGACTCGGAGTTGTAAATTTCAGTGCTAGCCCACTTAAGTACCCAGCCAAAGACTTTGGGAACAGTATAAGGTAAAACACCTTCACTGTACTACCATTGCCCAGTTTAAAAAGCACCCACAGATATCTGCATGTATTGTATTGCTGACCCTGGTGAGACTCTTAGGAAAAGAGAATAGACCCAGGATGAGGGCCCTTGATACAGAAGTTCAAGTTTGAAAGATTTCCCAGAAGTCAATATAAATGTTTCTTTTTTTAACTTCTTGCGATAACAAAGGCTAAGGAACAGTCTGGCAACATTGTCCCTGGAGAGAGCAATGAAGGAGGAGGAAGTTAGGGTTGGGGGGGAGGAAGGAAGAGAGAGAGAGAGAAACTTTTTTTTAAAACTTTTGAATCCTTTATTATAAAAATAAGAAAAAAATAAAAGTGCAAAAGTGTGTGGTTCTCCCAGCGACCAAGCATGAAACACTTATCAGTAATGAAAACACTCATATGACCAGAGATTGAAACTCACTTCCTGCAGCAACATTTATGGAGTTATACATTTAGGACTAGCTGTCCATCTTCCATCTTGCATAGTGCCCCCTCCATGGCAAAGCAGGAAACAAATTGGTACACATTTTGTTGTAAGACAAAGTTTCCAAACTCAAATGTGATTCACATCTGGGCCAAGAAGCAGAAGAGTTGGAGGGCTTCATCAGTGTTGGCTCCTGCAAGGTTGTTTCTGTGGCTTTTCAGGGTTGCCATCTTGGCCTGGCCCAGAAGGAAACTGGCGAGGCAGATCATACTCCCTTCTACTGCTCGGTACAGTATAGAGAAATTGTACACAATCTTAGGGAAGTCCAAGTCCAGTGTGCCAGAGAGGATGCTGAGGGCAGCAAAGAGTGGCCACAGTCGGGGACAGTCCAGGAAGGCATAGAAGAGCATCTTCTCTACCTCCTCCCCAAAGAAAGGGTAGGTTGCTGATGCTGCCAGGTCTAGGTGGTGGATAAATGTCCTATGGTCAAGGCCTCATGCAACATCAGCCACTCAAGGTCACCTGTTCTCTTGGTAATGGGTAGCTTGTACGGGGCATGCTAAACAGGGTGGGCTTCCTCTAGTGTCACTACTAGGCACTGCCTCCAGGTCATGTCAGGGTTGCATTTTGACGGTCTCTGTGTACACTGGCTTCCTAGACAGAATCTCAGGGGAGAGCGAGAAAAAAGAAGTGTGATCTTGGAGAAGAACAAGGAAAATATAACCTCTGAGTAATGATGGAAAAATTGAGGGAGTGGTGAATAGTGCTGTTATGGACAATTCTCTTGCAATTTATGTTTAGTGCCAGTCTACTGCTTTGAGCAGTACATTAGCAATACATGAGAACAATGTATTGCTATACAGTATTGGGCCGAGCCTCTATATAAGACGCTAGAAGCGCAGTAGACTAATTCTACTGCACATTAGTGTGTCACAGCAAAAGCCATGCTAATGCACTGATGTGCACTAGAATTAGTCTCCTGTGCATTAGCGTCACCTAAAAGACATGCTCTGGCACTACTACGCAGTAGTACTGATTACAATGCATTAAGTTAGTACCTGTTATTATAGGTCCAATACTCAATAAACCATCATTATGGTGCATTAAGGCACATGTAGATGTGCCCACTGCGGCATTAATATAACATCCTTGAAATAATTCAATAGAGATCTGGACAGTATGTTAAATCCTAAGCCTTTTTTTCTTTTCTTATGAGCTATAAAGTACCTGTTTATCAAAACAAGAAAAAGTTAATTTTTTTATTTGAGGCATTTTTTATCTGCTACTGAAATTGGAGAAACACCTAGGTGGCAAACTTTTCCTCAGACTGACTAGTTTACTATTTTATATCAGATCTTAAAAGATCTACTAAATAGGAATCTGTGTCATTTGAGCTTTTGTTGTTTCTGACGGGAAGGAAGTTAGCCATTCCAGTAACATCCACTCCATCATAAAAAAACCCCAAACCCTACAGACAGTGCCCAGCACAGGAAACTGATAATTGCACACAAATGCATAATTTCCCTGGGCCCCAATAAGCAGCAGTAGAATTGCTAAATTCATTTTACACTGGGATAATACACCAGTGCAGATCTATGTCTTTAATATTAAAGTAATCTGTGGACAGTTCATACATATTTATATCTATTACTGCTCTTTGGTGTAATACACGCATAACACTGATTATTATAGCCAATAAAAAAGTAATCATCTAATTGTTGAAACTGTGTCTTGAAAGAGTTGACAAGTGAAATACCTTTTTCAGTATTTTTCAAGTGTACCTGAGTAACAGAACATTCAGCCACAGAAGGCCAAAATTATGCAGATACGTGTGCACAACCCTTGGGACTTCCAGGTACGTATCTGTGGTTAGATACAGAAATTACACGTAAACCAGTATAAATGATCAAAAACCAGTCTAACCTGGAACAGAGCAGAAGTTCAGTGCACATAGATCAGTTTCAAAATGGTGGAACCTGATTTAAGATAGACCTGGATGAATGTAGTATCAGACTTAACTGATTTAGGTTAAACCGGTCCATCAAACTTTTGTCTCAGATCCTCTCCTGACTCAAGTTACCTCTCAGTCCCCCAGCATCCCAGGATGTTTTGCACCCCCTTGCTAGCCCTTCCTCATGGGACTGGAGGATTGCTGCAGGAGAGATCCCACCACCAAGTGCGGGGAGGGGGGTGCTGTGGAGAGCCTGGCTAATGTGACTTCTCTCCTCAGCCCTGCCCACTGACAGGTGGCTGCTGGGGGGTGGGGTTTGGGAGAGGGTTGGGCTGGCCAATCGGGGGTGGCCTAGCTGCTGGGAGGCACCCTCAGCCTTCTGGCCTCAGTCAGTGCAGTCACCCTGCTTCCCTTCACCAGGGAAGGTTGAATATCTGTTTTGTTCCTTCCTAACCTAACCTAGGACACTGAATAAAGTGTGAAACAGAACGCTTCCCCTTTAGGTTTTTGAACCTCTGTACTTGGCCTCAGTGTAGAACTTGGCCTAATATGTTTTATGATTCAGTAAACAATTTGGAATTGTACACACACATCATCACTGAGTCTGCTTTTTTTAATAGATTATGGAAGCAGCATTTCATATTGCTTATACACGTGCTTTATTGGGGGACTAGATGATGATAATGAGTATTTAAATGCAAAAATGCACTTCAGCTTTCTGTTGACTGCATGCAGTCTTTCCCCCTCATTTGTTGCTGGTCTTTGGAAGAATTACCAGATTGAGTCTTAATCAAATAGACTGTTCTTCAGTATAGTCATTTTCTTGGAAAGAGAATATCCAGGGGCTGGATCTGAAAGGTTGGGGTTTTTTTTGTAATTTAAGTAAACAAACATGAGAATAACAGCCAAGAATTTAGGAAGAGTTAATTGCCAAAGTCAGTGAGGAATGATGTGCTGTCATATCCACAAGGCCACTGGTGAAAACTTGCAATATGAGTATAATAGGTGGAGAATAAGAAATCATACTGTGAAAATACCATGTCCAGGACCAAGACAGTTAACAAACATTTCTTTTAAAATTAAGCCCAGAACCTGTTAGTACATATACAGCAATTGTTACAATGCAGATTTTCTTTTGAATTAAATATTTATGGCTGCTTTTGAGCAGCCATCAGTGTAGCTGTGATGGTAGTGGTGGCAGCTGGAAATATTTTGAAACAATGAGATTGAGGTCAATGTGAACCATCCAGTTTCAAGAAAAGTAGAAACACTGAAAGAATAGAAAGCTGTTAATGCAATATATCTCCCATTTCAACTACTTAGAGCGAGTGATCAAAAGCATGGGTTTATTTGAGTTTGTTCCAAATCTGAGAGCATTTTTTCTCATTGACTGCATATTCCCTAGGGCACTGATACCATTTTCTACCTAAATATTATGTTCCCAACACACTGGGGTTTTATTCACATGTACACTGTCACCCAATTTTAAAAAAAATCTCTGCAGAAAGGGTTATTATTTATTTATTTATTTATTATTGATGCAAAGTAGATTAGAACATCTAGGATTAATGAGCAGCTGGGAGGAGTTGACTGCCTAAGGCACAGCCAAGGGATATTAATTTCAACCAGTCATTAATCCCAAGAGATGCCCCCATGCTATGCCCATGCTAGCATCATTGTTATTATAAGGCAACTGGAAAAACTAACAGGTTTATAGAATTTGGTGAGTGATGTTGTTCCTATGATGATTACACACATTTCTAAATGCCCATCCCTGTAGTGTCTAATACAGTTTTAGCTGATGTGCTTGGTGCATGTCTAGAGTGTTAAAAGCCCTATACATTACTCATTTAGAAGGTCTGAATGACATTTAATATTCCATTCCATTCTAGACTTTTAAGAAACCTTGCAGAATATTCCATCTTATCTGAAGGATGTCTGTTGTTGTCAGTCCTGAGCAAAAAACCCCCAATTTGAAAGCGGTAGCCCATAAAGGTAAATACACCATACCAGCGAATTGCCTGTCAAGAATGACCAGGGAGACAGGCGGGAGCCGAGCATCGTCCTCCATCATCCCGCACTGCTGTCACCTCCCAGGAGCATATGGGGGGGGGGCAGGGAGCTTGCATGCAGTGACTGTCGGCGCCCCCCACCACCCCACATTCCTACTGCTCTGTCAGGCTGTGCACCACCCCCACCCACTGGCCACCACTGCCACCCACTGCCCCATGCTGCCACCACTCTGTGTCCAGCCCTGCTTTATTCCCAGAGAGGCAGCAGCATGGGGCAGTGGGGGGTGGCATTGGCCACCACTTTCAATTTTCCCCAGGCGTGGGGGAGGGAGAAAGTTTGCATGCGGCAGCGGCTTCCACTGCCACCCAGCACCCCACGCTGCCACTGCTTCGCATCCATCCCTGTGCTGCCACCCCCATCCCTGCCGTTGCCATCTGGCCTCGCCCCCCAACTCCGTCCCCTCCATCTCCCTTCTCTTATACCCCATGCCACTTCTGCCTCCAAGGAGTTTGGAGATTGGCTGGGAGTCTACTGGAATTGGCATCAATCTCCTGGTGACTATTGAAAGCAATCAAGGAGATTGATATTGTGAATGGGTTGAATAGTACAATTAATGACATTACATCTTGTTGGGGAAAAAAATCTCCCAGAATAGCTTCAGTCAGAATTGACTCTGACAGCCCTAAGCCTGGATAAGGGCTAGAGTCAGACCCATAGCAGCTGCCTGTCCCCTACTTCACTTGCCCTCTGCAACTCTTGCTCCCTCTCTGTCCCCTTCCTCTCCCTTACTGTCAGTGCAGCTCAGTGCAGCTTGGGCTGAACTCCCTCTTGGGCCCAGAGCAAAGAGAAACTCCATCCCTTGCCTGGCCATTCAGCAGCGCACTGCTGCATGGCTGGAGTGGCTGCTCTTCCACATGCTGTAGTCTGGTAGGAAACAGAGCCTGAGCAGCATCTGACAGTAAGGGGGAAGGGATGGAAAGAGAACGAGAATGTGAGGAGTAGAGGGAAGGAAGAAGCAAAGATTGTGGTGTGAGGGGGGGAGGGGCAGAGGCTGTGGGGAGTTGGAGAGGAGGGGCAGAATCCAGATTCTGTACCTGGAAAATTATATAAAAGTAATATTTTTTCCATATATAGAATCTAAATGGGGGGGCGGGCATCTTAAATTTGGGGCTGACTTAGATTTGAGTAAATGCAGTACTTCAAGGACCATTTGAGCACAAAAGACACACAACCTCTATGGGAGTTGTTTCCAGGGAGTCAAAGACACTTACCTATGGCTTAAGTTGCTTCTCCAGTAAAGGCATAATAATCCTTCTGTTTTAGCATGTTTTATGGGCACTGGCATATATACCTGAGATTCACAGTGGGAAGAGTGATTGATTGACTAATGTTTGAACATCATTTTGAAAATGCAGTGAGGCTAAGTATTATTAGTGCTCATGTTATCCACAACTGAAATGCAACCACCTCTGGGGTGAAATATGACATCTATTTAAGACCACAAAACCACAGAACAGTACTATACAATAATTCAGTGCAGGAAGTGTAACATACTGTATTCAGCTGAAGATGTTGAGTTAACCAATTTAGAATTTGTCTGGGACACACGGTAAACTATTCTGAGAAGAGAAAATTGAAGAGGGTAGCCACGGTTATAATATATAATCCCCACTGGTGGTCAAGACATAGTTTATATATCTGAGTTGAAAAATTCACCTTCAGCACTATGCTGACCACTAAAACCATGATTAGGTTGTTTCAGTGCTGATTTAGAAGGAAGGGTTTTACCCAGTCATAACCACTTCCTACTATGCTCTGATGATTCATTGCTGACCTAGTGAGACAGTGTTTAGCTTATGAGATCAAAGTGCATCAAAACAGAGGGTGTTACATCTGCAAGTTTAAGAACAAATCCTCAGGCAAGCATTTAGGTACAACAGTGATAGAAGAGATGTCATGATAGGCTGAGCTTGACACAAGCATCTTCTAAAATATCTTTACAAGTGGATTGCCACTTAGAATTTGACAATTTTGGGGGTCTGGATGGAAGTACATTTATGCTTCTTATTGCTGTAGATGGAGCTCCCATTTTCATTAGTGATGTCTCCCTATGCCTAAATAAGACTAAGCATAGAGCTTGTAAACTAGGGCCAAGCTACAGAAAAATATTTTGAATGCTGTCTAGAAAGGTCAATTTTAGAGAACTCTGCTCTTAATTTAGTATACGTTGCAAACATAAGGTTGTATCTTAGCATTACAGGTCTTTCTTTGGTAAAATATAGAGTTTTCTAAAGTAGATTTATCTAGAATACATTAAAATATTTATTCCATATTTGGAACTAACTGCTGTCACTGAAATCAGTTCAAGATTGTTCAAAATCATAATGTGGAAAATAGAAGATCAGGAATTTATTTAGCATTCCTGAAGTCATATTTTCCCTTCCATTCTTCCCTTTTCCAGTTCCTTTTCCATTCCAGACAGGCCCATACTATGTGTAAACCTGCTGTCTTTCATTCATTCATGCCTGCTTTGTATTTGGGCTGCTCCAGACTTGTCTCAAAGTTGGATGGCAGATGAGAGTGTAAAAAAGTAAATGACAGCTAGACAGGGATGTGTTGGGGCATGGGTCAGGCTCATCATTATAGAAGAGGTGGAGTTTAGTGTATTGGATTCACAAGCAGCTTGAAGTACTAGTAACCAAAGCGTCACTGAACAACTGTTTTAGATCAACCTAAGGATGATAGTGACCCCGAGCTTCATGTTTTCAGTGTTCTACAGAGGCACTAGTACCTATATTTCTAAAACAACAGATCACTTCAGTTTTGAATGTTGATTTATTATTGTTCTAATATGCCTGGTTTGAGTTTCCTCTTTCTTTGAAAGGATTTTTTTTTCCAAATATTTTTTTTAAAACTTCCTTCCTGATGTTTGTCTTTTTTCCAGATTCCAAAATTAGAACAAGTCACATTTCCTCATGGGACTTCTGGTGCCAGGAGATACTGAGCTTTTGCAGCCCCTAGTCTGAAGGTGCCTGCGCCGGTGGATGACCTGCGCTGTCACACATGCTAGCTGTCCCTAAATTTGACAATGGCAAACTTTAAAAAGCTAATGCATGTCCTGCCTCTACCATCCCACCTCCCCACCAAATTGCCATGTATACATTTGAATCTTGCAAAATATTGATGAATCTTATTTGTTTAAGATTTGCTTAATCCATAACTTGCTTGCTGTTTATTTATTTAGCATGCTAACTGTTAAATCAAGCAAAGGCTTTCAAAGAATGGGTTTGTCAAAGCGAACATATCTTCCTCCAAGGGTTCCAAGGACCAGTGTTTGATTAAAAAGTGACAGCAGCATTAAAATGGGTGACCTGTGTCTGTCTTTTTGTAAAAGACTATCTGATGAACTTGTAGGTGTCCTAGCTTTTAACTAGTGAGTTGTTTTGTGTCTGTTGTGGGGGGCGGCGTTCCTGGGAAGAACAGGGAATTATTTGATCATTTAATAAATTCATTATTATTTCTATAAAGATGATGTCAAGATTACAAAGTTTCAAACATTTAAATTTGGGGAAAAGTAAGTTTGACCCGTGCACGGTTTGATTTAAAAATGTATCCCTATTAATGGCAAAAACCCAGACATTGGCTTAGAATCCCAGTTCCTGAGCCAGACAAGCCAACATCAAAAACAGGATGCTGGGTGAGTGCTGATCTTAGTTATGAATGTACACATGCTATAAGCATACAGATATTGCACCATCCCTCTGCTCTGTTTGACTACTCTTTTCTTTATGAACTCCTGTGTACTGAAACTGATAAAATCTGCTCTCAAAAGAGCTCAAAGACCAAAATTCTTGTCTGCTTTAATACTTTGATAGCTCACAAGGACAAAGCAGCCTTACAGAGAACCCTAACATAGACTGCACATCCAGGGAAAATGATAAGTTATATTGTTGGCTTCTATTGGCGTGATCTTCCAACCTTCTAGAGAGACTGATGGTGGTATGGATTTAGATACCAGGGCACTAAAACAAAAGTCTAATTAGAATCTATTCACCTCCATTTAACTTGTATATCCAATTAGTATTAATAGTTTGTGTGTGTGTGTGTGTGTGTGTGTATGTATGTGTATCTATTATATTTATGCACACATAATATATATGGGATAACATACTGGGCCCTGTTTTACTATTCTGGCTCATGCAAGTAATCCTGGCTTAATGAAGCTAAGATTACTTGTAGGAGTAAGGGTTAAGAAGTGAGCCCTACAGTTGTATTGTGTGATAGAGCAGGTCAGTTTGGGGCTCATTAGCCTTCCAAGTGTCTTTTGGGTCATTTTCTTTCCTGACTATATTTCTACTATTGACTTGATAATTGATATAAATCAAAGTGGATGGTCTAAAGCTGAAGTACAGCTGCCATTTCTTCGATGGTCGTGTTCCAAAACTGAAGTGCTTCATAGAAGTGACTTCTTTGATCTCTGGGAAGAAAGGAGACAATCTACATTCCTTATACATGCCCCATGAGGAGGCCAAGGAATGGTAATACCAACTGCAGTTTGAGACACTTACGTTTTCTGTGAGCTGGAGGATAGACAATGGGACGTAGATGACTAAGTTTGTGCATTCATGTGTATAAAATCAGTGAAATTGAGACATTTCGTGCATATTCAAAGTAGACAGGAGAGTCAACTATTTCCTTTGCTATTCTATCAGTGGCAAAATAGATTTTCTTCTAATAGAATGAAAGATCATTCAATCAGCAAATTATTGTTTAAATTGAGTAATAGTCACCAACTCCATCTTGCAGCCCTGGAATTACTTTTTCTTTTCCTGGCTTTTACTAATTAAATTGTTTCAATGAGATACTCTGCAATGCTACATGCTGCAGAAGAGACCTGCTTTTTAAAACCTGGGTAACAGTGAACTATTTAGATTTCTGAACATTTTTGGCACTGAAAAAATGTTCATGTGAATAGTTTACATGTTGTAAAAAACAAAACCCTCCCACACACATGCACACATATAACATGAGAGCACTAAACTAGGTTGTGTTACCATGTACTGTTTTTGAAAACATTATATGTTGCATTTATTAATTACCCAGCAGTGTACATACATATACAGTTCTACATGAAAGTAAGACAGTGGGCAAATTCAGAGGTAGTATGTAAGGACATTCTAGGGAGATACAAGGGAGTTTTAATTTATACTTTCTATTGTTCTTTCTCTATATAAATTATTCCTGTTAAGACTCTAAGAGCAACTTACCAGTGTTGCACATCAGTACTGAATTTGTCCAACTTCCACACTGCAAAGAGTATTCAGGCTAAGTTAAGAAATGATAAGCTAATGGGTGATAAACTTTGAGGGGAGGGAGGACTGAGCGCAAGTGTTAGTAGTTGCATAGCTGGTGAGTTACTAACATTTGAAGGGTAAGCAAGGTTTGTTTTTCTCAAACTGTATCTGAAAGGAAACCACGAGTTTGGAAGTTTTACTGAAGAAGCTCCCCTCTGTGGTGGAGAAGGAGGTATTTTTGTAAATTAACTTATATTTTCACTTCAGATTTTGTTGCTAGGAGATTCTATTGTTAGACTTCTTAAATAATCTATTCACTATTGTAATGACCTTCTCTAGCTAACACTCTGTATACAGTGTCCAAGCATTTGTCCCAGAGCAGTCAGTCTCCTAGACGCACCACCCCCCTGAATCTAACCAGCAGCTGCTGATGGATGCTCTTACACCTTGTAATGCACACCTACATACAGCCAGTATGTTTTCTAGCAATGCTTTCAAGGTTTGCTTGAAACTCATCTAGAGGTTGGCAAAAAGGCTTTTAATCTCAGGTTACTTTAGTGTTAGTAACAAAATCCCAAACCAGGTAAGTTGAGTTTCCTCTTTTCTGCAATAGATTTTGGTCCTCCTGGAAATTTAAAGGGTTGACTTTTATGCTGTTGAATTAAAGCCAGATATACAACAGAGTGTCTAGTGATGTGAAGCACTGATAATTTTAGTTCATCCTTGGTAGCATATGAGATGTACTTTTGTAATGTTGGAAAATATATAAACCCAGGTTTTGAAATACAGGTGGTTCAGAGGGGCTAAACCCCCTATAAGAGCTAAGAACCCCCATTAGGCAAGAGCCCCTGGGCCACCCTGCGCTTTTCTAAGTAGCTCAGGTGGTGGCTCCTTTCGGCTTCCACCACCGCAGACCCCTCCACCCCCAAGAGTTGGAGTGTAATTCGAACCCTGCATAAACTCGTTGACAAAACTCAATGAAAGTATATCCGGAATAAAATACACTATAGAATAAAGTATAGCAATGCAGTTGGGAAGGAACAAAATGGCCTGAAAGCACTGGCTTAGGAATCTGGATAGAATTAGTTTTCCATCAGGATGGAGTCATCACATACGGTAAGATGTAGCACCTCCTTAATGTTCTTGGGCAGACTTGCCTCTGTGTGCAGAACTTTTGAACCTAGATTTGCAGCCAGTCATATCAGGTTTCTCTGACTTCACTGCAGTTTACCCAGTAATAGGAAAAGTCTCCCCGACTGAAGAGCCTAGCTGTCTCCTGCTTTCAAGAGTTCCTGAGGTTTGCTTCCTATTTTTCTTCAGAGGGTCAGTTTGCCTTTAAATCATTCTCTTATTTTCCAAAGTGATAATTGTTTGGTAGATGAGAATCAGAATGAAGATACAGCTATCCTTTATGGTCCAGGTTGGGGTGGAGGGGTGGGTTTTCTTTGTTTGTTTTAATTCTCAGATTTGGGTCAGCTTTACTCCCCTTGGTTTCTGGATGTTGATGACCATTTTGCAAATTTCAAAATCACTTCCAGTAAGATTTTCAAAAAGGTCTAGGCCCGATTTTCAGTGTCTGATGGTGCCTTATGAATGATGAAGGAGCTAGGGACAGTGACAGAATATGTCTTATTGCCCCCTGTTGGTTACTCACGAGATTACTAACAAAAGATCCAAGCAGTGAATCCCCAGGTGTTTTAAGCATCAGTAAATGAGTAACAGCCCAGCTTAGCCCTTTAAGTTTTAGGTCTCTAGGCACATTCCCAGAATAAAGAATGTGTGTGTAGCACTTCCTTTTGAGTGCTGGTACACACTGTATCACTGTTTTCCCTAAGACTCCTCCACCTCTGACCCTTTCCCAGAATCCCTCTGAATCTCCTGCTCCAGTTTGCCTGATCAGGAGGCACATAATAGTAATAAGCAAACAGACATACAAAGATACACCTGGACTTTGCACGCTGTTTCTGAACACAACATTGCTTTACTTATCAGACAAGGAGGTTATAGTTAACTGAAAAAAGAAAAGAAAAAAAATCCACCCCGCGCACACCCCTTTCTCTACCTTGCCTTGCTCATGGGAGTTTCTTGATTGGCAGTGGGGTAGGAGGGGCACCTGTGTTCTGGCATTCGGGGGCTGGGGGGTTACCTTTGCCTGACTGGGATGTTTCATCTCTGCAGGCTGTTTCACCTTTGCTTGAAGGGCTAAAAATGGGTGAAAGAACAAAGGTCTCACCTGATCATTCCCATCAAGTGGTTACAGACTGCTGCTAGCTGGTACATGCTATGCTTATACCCATCTGCCCCTGCCACCAAAATTTTTGGCAGCAGACAGCAGCTTCAACTTCCCAGCTGATAGAACCCAGGCACCCCTGGCTGCTCTGGTGGGGGACTCTGCATGGCTTTGCTTAGCAGCTCTGCTGCCAGAAGTACACTCTTACAACACACAAGCTGCTGACTTGGGAGCTGAAGGCACAAGAGTGTCTATATACAACTTCAGCCAACTGCTAATGCTTCTGGTAAAAGGGAGAGTTTGCTGCCACTCAAAATTCCTCCAGGAAAGTTCTGTAATGTAATGTAGACTAGGCCTCCATTCTCCTTAGTGGGAGGCAGGTTTTGTTTAGGATATTTATATTTGGAGAGAGGACTATCTCTGTTTAACAGTCTTCTGAGCTAAGTACAGACAGTCAAAAACCCTGAGGGTTTGGCTGACAGTCAAAAACCCTGAGGCTTTGCAGGTTAATCTAAGCTGCACAAATTAAATTGAAACAGAAGTGAACAGACATTTACCTTTGATTCAGGAAATGCAGCCACATGCCTGCTGTGGATCAGGCCAGAAGCTGGGGGGTGCTAGAGCATGGCTCTCTGGCTGTGTATTCACTTCCTCTTCCTGCTTCCCCCAAGGTCTCTGTGATTTGCAGTCCATAAT